CCTCGAAGACTGGGAACCAACAGGTCGAACTTTTCTGACGGGCTTTTGAACAAATAAACAGCTCCATATTTCGACAAATGCTCAGTGCGTATGTTCGCCCCCATGTCGAATACGCAGTTCAAGCCCGACATCCAAAGCTGAAACACGACCTTAATGCACTGGAACAACCACGACGTCGGGCATCTAAGAACGTCACTGGAATGTGCGATCTTTCATACCAGGAGAGGCTGCAACGATTGGAGGTATTCAGTAGATTACGAGGCGACCTGATTATGGCATGCTTGATTCTACGAGACCCACATCATGTGTGCCGCCCATTACTGCAACTCAGCAACAATACAAACCTGAGGGGCCACTCACTAAAAGTCGCAAAACAATACAGTCATCTGGAGTGCCGCAGAAATTTCTTTTCCATTCGTGTCTGTCACCCATGGAATGCTCTCCCAGAATCGGTCGTCTCTGCACCGACACTAACAGTATTTAAAAGACGGTTGGATGAAGCACTCATCCACTTACACTTTGTCACTAAACACTACTTCTCCATCCTTCAGCGAGAGTTTAACATGGAATTATTGATGTTAACTGCGGGTGCTGCGAACCTAAGCGGATGGCACGACTAAGGCGGAGCAAACGAGAAGTCCCTATTTTCATATTTAAAGTACCATCTGTTTTACTATCATTATTATCATAATTGTTATGTTGATATCCCCATCAACTATCCAATGGGACTTGAAAAGCAACGCTTCTTAACTCGTATATATTCATTGTTCATTGTTTAATGATCAGACCATCAGCTTTAACATTAATTCGTTCTTGATTTTGATCAGCCCAACTGTTTGTGTTTTATTTCATGCTGTGTTGATTTATGTCACCATTTTCGAAGTGGGATCATGCTCGATGGGGCGATATATGGCCGGGATCGAAGATGGCTTTTAGCCGTTGCCACCTAATCTGTTTCATCCGTTTTTCTGCAACTTGTCGCAAAAGGTAGTGAAACTTTTTAATGGGTTATCACAGGGACTAGCGTTTGTCTAATGTGTTGGTGTGATTATTCGGACCGCCTGTTGTGTTCAAAACCTTTTTCAGTTTAACCGAGTAGGCAATTTATGAAGCGACCCTGACGCTAAAGTGTATTCCATGTTATTAATATGTCGTCTTCGGTTATGGTGCCTTGCCGAGTGGACAAGCATTGACCCATCCTTTACTTTTGGGGTGTCCGGCTTCCTAGTGAGACTTATTTAACTTGCTAGTAAGTGTAAATTTATGCTGGTTTCTGATGTCTTAAATAAAGTTATGTTTGTAGACTCAATATCTACGTCTTGGGGAGGAGCCTGCAACAGCCCGTCATTAGATCATCCACAGACCTGGACATCAACAAGCCAGCATGGGGCACGTATGATCAAAATTATAATTACAGATGCCTATAACTGCCTTAGAAATTAGGAAAAGGTCATAAATAACAATAGAATTGACTGCCATATTGCGATAGGCCCCATCATTACATATGCGTTTGAGTTTTACACCAACTCATGGCTGCGTAGCCGATAAAGTCAGCTGCGGAATCTCAGGGACGGATACGTTCTGATTTATTAGTTTTATATAAAAGTTGTCGTCAGTACACAGATGATGCTTTGTATATTATTTCGAACACAATGAGCAACATCTTAGCTACAGGCAAACAACTACCGTTTGCTGAAAAGTCGTGCAAAATTATACTATTTTAGCTGTACATAGAACGGGTTCGCCCAGTATTATCACAGATTGCATCCTATGATAATTTGGAAAAATGTTGACGATTAAAGTCACAGTTTATTTTACAGCTGTGGTGATTAGTACCATGCGAGCAAGTTCTACTGAATAACACTACTGCTATAGTCTCAAGCTGATGGAATGTAAATGAAATATATGTGAAATCAAATGACAATAAAAATAGCAGCCTAATTATTTGCGGATCCTTCTGTGGGCGGATTTGTGAATACAATTGCTGCATAGTATAACATTTTGTCGGTGTTAGTTGATGGAATTTTAATATATTTACTTTAATAGCTGATTTAGTCATCAACGTTTCAGAGCAGCAAATATTTGCTGTTACAGAGTTTAGCAGTTTAATCCTGTACAAAGGCACTTATTGTGGGTAAAGATAATCAGGTATAAATAAGTATGCGTTGCACTAAATTATGTGCAACATTCTGAAGACAATCCCCAGTTTTGCAAGACCAGATCCATTTGAATTCAATCTTACTTTTTGAGAGCTCAGGTGTGCAATCGCATGCATGTGATTAAATTTCATTTAGCCTTACGTACTCGAAAAACAAACAGACAAAATTCACGGGGATTGACAGTTTAGTACTCAGATCCATAACCTGTGAACATAATACCACTTGAAATTGCTAGTTGTAGGTATGAAGTACATGATAAATTCGTTAATAATAATGCAGTGTTTCTACGAAGCCTTTAATAGAATATACATCTGACACTCAAAATTCGACTTAATTATCTCGCTTGAGAAGCAAAATGGCGTCAACCATATTGGTCAACTGCTTTGGGTGCCAGAGGTTATAAAGCTAGCTTATCATGTAAGCCATGTTAGAAATGGTCCAGAAACTAAGGACACCGGTGACCGCTGGGTGCATGTTTATGCCTCTTCGTCATAGCGTAAGTACAGACTTGTGCTGCGGTGCTATTTGCTCAACGACGACCGCGTTATTTTTGAGTACGTGGTTAGGGACAGTTACTCGTTCTTTTGATTCATTTTCTCGACGGAACAACAGGAAGCCATAGTTTGGAAATATACCCAGTCAATACTTTGGAGCCAATGCAACTAGGAGATAAATGGAATTAAAATGATGGAAACAGTAGGGGTCAGTTTGTATCTGGCACTTGTTTTATAGCTACACACACGCTGCATGGTACAGTTTTAACATTGTGGTCATTAAATCTTACGGGATTCGGGCCTACTCTTATCCTCATGTTCGGTAGTGTCTTAAGCCACTGAGCCGCTGGTTACTCAAGCTGCTTCTACTCACCTTAGACTGAAGCCGGGGTTGGCGCACTTCAAATTTTGGTTCATGACGTAGTTGACTTGAGTGAGATGGCAATTGCTAATTCAACAATGCATATTAGCTTCGAATTCCGGTGTTTAATTTGAAGCTGCAAGGGTTCTGGTGACGGATTTATTAGCATTAATATTTTAATGCTAGACACTTGCACATAAAACATAGGTTAGGTTAGAACACGACATATCTATTCTATATAGTCTATTATATGGCAAAAACGTTTTCAGACAAAGGGCGTTTCCAAGCCTAGCTAGCTATAGAGCAAACATAGACAGAAAACTGCCTATTAGTCTATTCAGAGATCCTAAATGGACGAAGCGATCTTCCAGTGTATTCCTAGATGTGTGGTAGCTATCTGCCTGAGTTTTGCTACCAGGCATCTGCACAAATACCCAGTGAATACCCTACTACTTATAAATTAGCAGCAATCGCCTTAGCCGCTTACATACCACTCTGCTTGATGGCTGCTTGCGAAGGAAGTGGTTGCTCTGGGAGCCAGCCCTGTCCTCTGCACGCTCGTACCATGTATAACAGTGGATGATGAGCCGCGATATATCGCAGTTATTTAGCAGTCATGGCGGTCTGTTTGTGTCGCCCATGACTCAGTGACATAAGTTGCTGGCTCGGAAGAATAAGGTCTTGTTTTCAAATCTAGAAAGATTCGTCAGTTACGCGCTACTGACGGCTCCGATTAGGACGAAACGGCCGTCTGACGCTTTCTTGGTTCGGGTGGTGGCTGTCTGATTGAAGAGCCATCACTAAACATTTTGGTTAGCGTAAACCAAGTTAGGCCGAAGTCAAGGCGTATCGTCAAAAAACATGTTGGAGCTATTCAGGAAGTAAAGATTAAAGGTTACTAAAATTTTATCAATGCAAGCTGAATAATGATTAGTAATTTATACTTTCATATTTAGTTTGAGGGACTACTGCATAAATGTCTCTGTAATCCGCAAACGCGAGGACTTTATGCACTTGCGATCATATAACGCACTCAGATGTTCTCTTTAGCCCATAAAGTAAAATTGATTTAATTACTGTAACAGCGAGCAAAACATCAAGTTAAACCAATGGAGAAACATAAAATCACCAATTTTTTTAGTGCAATTTCTTGCTAAGTATATCAAGACCTTAGATCTAGAGACCTATCGCTTTTGCGTTGCATAGTAGGTGGACCACTGCATGTATCTTCGCGCAGCATGAATGGTCGCAAAATGTCACCAGTACATTGGGGCAGAATCACCACATGGTACTTACCAGTAACATTTACTTATCTGTGCAACTAGTAGAGTTGTTAGATCACCAGGTGGATCACTGTGCACAAGGCCAGCAATTGCGCACCACAACATGTGGAATTTGGAGACACACTGAGGCTGAAGCAAGATATTTAAGAGTGAAATGGATTGAAGCCCTGAAAACTAGACAAAATGTTATCCAATACTTGCATCGAGATTTTAAATTCACCGTCGGATGGTCAAATTGGCGACGGTAAATATAGCCACACTTATTAAATGTTTAACAACAAAAGGAAAAACGGCAACACCAGATATCGATTTATTAACTTTTAAGTTTCATACAGGTAGCAATGTGGTGCACTTCTAACGACTATCCTGTATAAAAGCGAACAGGAACTAGGAAATAAGTGCAATCATCGATCGGTATAGACGAAGGACGCGTGATACACAAATCAATCTCCGTCGATACGTTGCGTATGAAAATTCTCTGTGAAACGGAGCTTCAGTACGAAACCACTATGGAAGTGCGCAAAATGGACCCAAAATTATATGTTCAGCTTGAGTTCTAACATATAATTCCTCTGCACTGCATTACGTTTTACCAACGGCATTTTAGTTTCGGTAACAATCACATCTTGATAACCAGCATATATTGCGCGATCTCAGTCATCTTAGTATGTTAAAATCATTCAATAGCGACTTCTCAACTTACTTGGAGTAGTGAGAATGCTGGCTGTGATGATCAACGATGAGATGACCGCAATTACAAGCAGTGCAAGTACGATACCACGCCAATTTTTCTTCTGGGGATTGTTGGCTAGAAGTTCCTTTACAAAACGAAGGAACCAGTAGAAAGATTAATTAGCGACAAGTATCGAAGATACGTGTGTGTAACGAAGGTCTGAGTTACTATGCTACTATATCGACCGCCCAAATTTAAATGATAACTTATTAGAACAAGAGCACTTACAATAGCTTAATTGCGTTAACATAGAGTAGTCACAGATACATGTCTCTCAGCCTTGCTTTGTAAACCAATCACTGAGGTTTTTCAACTTCCGCGTGCCATATAACACAAAACGTATATCTAGTTTATTATTAAATAACGCGTTAGGCGTGTTATTAATTATTGCAATTGAATATGGAATCTACCATGGGGAACAAACAAGGTTAACCAAATTGAATTCATCGTGAAATGAAAGTGACTATATTAATTTCGCTAGTCAAGCTAAGCGCGTGGTTCACATAAGCTATAAGGTCGAAGATGCATGGGTCAGGAGCTTTTCTGTCTATCGGGTTAGCTAATCCTTAGCAAAGTATATTTCCACGGACTCTACTTTCTTTCTTGATGGAACTTACCATTTCTGGAGCGGTCTACCTTCTTGTGTGGCAGTTGAACGCGACTCCACCTAGTTATATACAAACAAACGCTTGGTATTCCGACTCTGACCAAAATCAATTAAGAGCAAGTCGCACTCAGAAAGCGACCGGTTAAGTGCTACTCCACGCTGTTCACTTGAACTGAAATATCGTGACAGGTAAGTCGAGAGGGTATATTGTATGAATGTTTACAAGTCTACTTGATTCAAGGAGTGAAGTTGGACGTTCTATAATAACGATGTCTAATTCCTAAACAAATCAAGTAAAATAAAATACACGAGCACTGGTAAAAATTACTTGACACCCCACTGGCCCGCTTATGATAACGTTTTTTCTGCCTCACTATCAATATAATATGTAGGAACTAAGCAAGGAAGGGCCCAATGGATATCCCAGGAGCAACATTAGTGGTTACGTTACCCGGTGCTAAATTTGCGGCTTGTGAATGTCTGTCTTAAATAGAGTTGATGGACAATTATCCAATTAAGTGCCGGCCAGTAACCATGGGGATCACAAGCTTGCATTGTACTCCGAGGGCGCGGGTTCGGGCCTGCGTAGGTGACAAGACGACCCTCGCCGTAACATTGGGCAACGTGAGATGTGTGGTGGTTGCGTGACAGCGAAACATCTGTAATGCTTTCTGGCGCACGAAGATGATCCCATCAAGAAGGCTGCAATGTGACTTAAAAAAGCTAATGTCACCAGAATTATGTCTCGAGGAATTGCAAAACGAAAATTTGTTAGATAAATGGAGCAAGTTATGCAGTTATACTGGGAGGGTAGTTAGCCGAAATACGCCAAAAGGATTCTAGTTTTATCGTATGTGCTTAAGAGAAGCTGTGGTATGCATGTATGCGTAACCTGCCGAGATAAGGGGTCAGTCATGGTAATGGATAGATAGGATGAACGACTGTATAGATTGGTAATATACATCGTTCCTTTATTATTACTTCATTGGTGCAGGAATTTACTGACTACATGTGTCGTATGAACTCTGTAATAATGTAAAGTATTTTAATCAGCAATTTCACGGATAAGAAGCTATAAATGCATTCATGTGCAGTATTAACGGTATTATAGTACATGGGCTATTGTAAGTGGCCAAATTACCACCATAGCTATGTAGAGATACACAATGAAAATGTTTACAATAACTAGACTGCTTTCTTAACATTGTGTTCTAAATACTAGAATAAGTAACATAAGTTGATTGCTTGAATTCTGGTTAGTTTCTGTTGAAGGTTCAACTATCAGTCTTAACGGGGATTGAGGGGAAAGGAATCGGGTACTTCGGGCCTGAGAGATATTAAGACATCTAATGTAGAGTGAATGATAATTACTTTTAGTTGCAACTTTCCTTTTAGTTGACAGTTTTAAAAGCGTCAAGCAGTTACTGGTAAATACAGACTCATCATTTCTAGCATGACAGCACTGTTCAAGATTTATCCAACCCGTTGCATCAAAAACATTAAAAACCCACCATAACCAACATTAAATTAATGATGACCTCAATCTGGATATATACAGGGTCCCACAAGTACCTTACTGAAATAACGCGCATCTATTGGGCCCAAGTTTAGTGTTTAAATGCTGCATCAAGCACTGGTGAATTAGTGTTGCAAATCCGTTTGAGTTGACACTGAATTGGCCGTTGAATTTTATACATAAATAATATACGTGTTTTCATCTGAATACTGAATACTGAATACTGTATCATAGAGCAAGCAGAAATGAATTCTGTACACCTCTTTTTGAAATATGGCCATAAAGGTTATATAAGTTGTCAGCCGTGAATATCGTTGTCGTTCTAATGTAACATTTAAAATATCTGACTTACTACATTTCAGGATTCACAAAGGTGCTATGTCATCGAAAGTGTGCAGTCGTTCTCTGAATCGAATATTGGCAAAATACAATCTAATAACGT